ATATATATATATATATATATATACCCTCTGACAGAGTGGGGTACAGAAACCTCTTTCACTCAGCTGATCGAGAAATTCCCTGCATTAACTGAACCGACTCAACGTAAACTCGTCCTAAACCAATTTAGTCCAACTTACATTATCGTAACAATTTCTGAAACATATATTTTAATATTATTTTTTATTTTAACTGATAATTTTTAATGTTATCCATGCGTGGGTATGCCGCTGAGTGATTGGAGCTCCTACAATGTATCTGAGAAGCCCCGAATTCGATTGTTGTTCCGCAGACCAACTGAAGTGATTTTCCTCAGTTTCTGAAGGCACATGTTGCAATCTGCTCCTAAAATAACAGCCAATGCAGGTCGAGATTGACTGTACACGTGAACCGTTAGTGCGATGCGGAAAAAAATTAGTTCTGTCGGTAACAAGAAATGCGTGCAAAATCTTAGTCACCTAAAGATAAGACACCACTTGGAAGGCTTCGGTGTAGATGGAACTAAGTAACCCTTAAAGAATTGGCTGAGGATAGGGACCAGTGGTTGGCTTTTGAAAAGACGGTAATGGACCACCAGGTTCCATAAAAATGTGGACTTTGGCTGTCTGAGCTATTATTAGCTCACCAAAAACGATTTTGCTCAATGGAGTTAAATATTTAGCAGGTTTCTGGCCCGAGATTCAAACCGGGTATCTCCCGAATACGAGTCCACTGCGTTTTCCCGTTTGTTAGATTTTATATTTTCCGGATGAGAAATTAATAGGCAAAATACACACGCCTATGATCAGCCTCAGGACAGCAATCCACTGTCACCTTCTGGCCTATATGCTACACTACAACAGGAGAAATAAAGTTACTTTTATACTTCATTTATACGACAGCAAGGATTAACTCAGCGTGCAGAGACCAATCTCACGTCTTTGGAAGCCTGATGACCACGCATATAAAAAAATGAACTACTTTCAAACAGGGCATATCCCACGCAAAGCATTTTACGACAGTAACAGTCCTTGGCATCCATGAATACTCCCATTGCGACAGCAGAAAAGTTCTTATTCTCTTCCAGTGTTCCAAGCAAGAGCGATCTAAGACTGCCGAATTAACTCCACGCACGTGATGTCTTCCTGAGAAACTGACAGTCGCTCAGTTTGTCTATAAATTCCTCACCACCTACCGAACCAAAGGGTTCATTACTTTATTCACCACAGCACAGAAATATATCTAAACCTAAGCCAGTTCAATCCATTCTACACACTCACACACTATTTTTTTTACACAATTTAATAATACCTTCATATCAAATTCTTATCGCGTATTAAACAGGTTTTCCAGGCATTATCTTCTGTTCAAATTACTCGATTACAATTTCTGTACGAATAACTCGTCCCTCTCACGCGTGCTACACGTCCGTTCCATCCCATCCTCTTTAATTTGGGTCTACTGCATTTAACGCTTATAATCTGTGGCGAAATTTTCCACTGAAGTAAAGCAAACTTTAATCTTGATGTACTTTACACAAGGTGGCTATATAATATGGTATTTAAACAGTTTATAATAAAAGTCGAGAACAATTACCTCTTGTTCAGAGCCGTTCTAACTTCACGTAAAGCCAGGCCACTAAATTCAATAAATCTCTCATACCTTCGCTGCCATTACGATCCTGTAATGTGTTAAGAATAAAGCTGATTACATAAAATAATAGCTATAAACAGGTCTCAGTCCTACTACCACATCGCTGGGGTTAGAACAGGACTGAATTAACTGGAAATTTGTCCAAAGACAGAAACTATAAGCAAAGTATGACAGTCCTGGCTTCGATCCTATTCAGTCACCTTTATAATTGTTATAAATTTAAAATGGTAGAACATGAGATGATAATGTTGCGTCATTATTGTGTTGAATATATACTTGCTCAATTTTATCAGTCAAATCACAATAAAATATTATTATTAAATGTTAAAATATTAAAAAATTATTACAATATTAAAAAAAAAATAAAAATAAAAATATTTAAATGTTAATTGTAATAATATTTTAATATTTTAACATTTAATAATAATATTTTATTGTGATTTGACTGATAAAAATTGAACAAGTATAAATGGTAGAACATGAAAGTCATTTAAAATAGACCGCAAATTATTTATTTTAACACGGGACGATGCCGTGTAATTGTCGTATAGAAATTAGAATCGCGTTCGTCTTATGGCGATGTACGTAGCTTCAACCAGG